CCGTTATTCTTTAATCTTCCATCTATATATTCGTTTTTCTTCAATCTTCCATCTATATATTCTTTATTCTTTATTCTTCCATCTATATATTCTTTATTCTTTATTCTTCCATCTATAAATTCTTTATTCTTTATTCTTCCATCTATTTATTCTTTATTCTTCCATCTATGTATTCTTTATTCTTTAATCTTCCATCTATGTATTCTTTATTCTTTAAACTTCCATCTATATATTTTTTATTCTTTATTCTTCTATCTATAAATTCTTTATTCTTATATACATATGTTATACATATATTGGATATTCATATATTGGATATATATATATAGGATATACATGTATTTGATATATACATATATTGGATATATACATATATTGGATATACATATATTGGATATATACATATATTGGATATATATATTTATTGAATATACATATATTGGATATACATATATTGGATATGTATATATTGGATATACATATATTGGATATATATATATTGGATATACATATATTGGATATACATACATTGGATATATATATATATTGGATATACATATATTGGATATACATATATTGGACATACATATATTGGATATACATATATTGGATATACATATATTGGATATACATATATTGGATATACATATATTGGATATACATACATTGGATATATACATATATTGATACATATATTGGATATACATATATTGGATATACATATATTGGATATACATATATTGGATATACATATAATGGATATAGATTCTATCAGATAATTTGCTTTAAATTATATTTATCAAATAGAAAATAATTATCTCTAGGGTGGTTTGCAAACACCCGTTTCTTTTAAACATTTTAATTTAGAAAAGAATTTGATTTTAAGCAGTTTATCTATGAATGAGTTTGTTCCAGAAAAGGTTTTCCAAAATCTTGTCCGCCATCTTTTTACTTTGAAAATTGACGGATATAAAATTTTTTTTAAAAAACAATGCAAAATTCTTAATATTCAGACAATTACAAATTAGAAAGGCACAAAAAAGGCAAAAAAACATTTAAGAAAATTCAAATAATAAAGTCTTATGCCGTGACATACCAAGAGTTTAGAAGTCGTCACTTTCTTGGAATTACTATTCCACGATTTTTTGTTTAAAAAAACTTTTCTTCTGAATCCGTCCTGTAGACGCTCATGGCCAATTGAATAGTATTGAAAAAACATATAACTTACTGACATATTTTTGCTTGAATCATGTTTATTTACCTAGCTAAATTTTAATGTCATTCTTTTATCACAAAAAATGTGAGTTACAATGGAATGTAAATACAATTACATGTAAGAAAAGTTAAGACTGGGGATTAATCAATGTGATTAAATTTTTCATTTAGAAGCACTTGCGGTGAACAATGGAGGGTCCGCACTCATCATACTCCTGCTTGGAGATCCACATCTGCTGGAAGGTGGAGAGGGAGGCCAGGATGGATCCTCCGATCCATACGGAGTACTTCCTCTCAGGGGGAGCGATGATCTTGATCTTGATGGTGGAGGGAGCCAGGGCGGTGATCTCCTTCTGCATTCTGTCAGCAATACCAGGGTACATGGTGGTTCCTCCAGACATGACAGTGTTGGCGTACAGGTCCTTACGGATATCAACGTCACACTTCATGATGGAGTTAAAGGTAGTCTCGTGGATACCGCAGGCCTCCATTCCCAAGAAGGAAGGCTGGAAGAGGGCCTCAGGGCACCTGAACCTCTCATTACCAATGGTGATGACCTGACCATCGGGAAGCTCATAGGACTTCTCAAGAGAGGTGGAGGCAGCAGCGGTGGACATCTCCTGCTCGAAGTCAAGGGCAACATAGCAGAGCTTCTCCTTGATGTCTCTGACAATCTCTCTCTCAGCGGTGGTGGTGAAGGAGTATCCTCTCTCAGTCAGGATCTTCATGAGGTAGTTGGTCAGTTCACGACCAGCCAGATCCAAACGAAGGATGGCATGGGGGAGAGCATAACCTTCATAGACGGGAACAGTATGGGAAACACCATCTCCAGAGTCCATAACAAGACCAGTGGTACGACCAGAGGCATAGAGGGAGAGGACAGCCTGGATAGCAACATATCTTTATTCTTCATTCTTCCATCTATATATTCTTTATTCTTCATTCTTCCATCTATATATTCTTTATTCTTCATTCTTCCATCTATATATTCTTTATTCTTTATTCTTCCATTTATATTCTTTATTCTTTCATCTAATGGGGGGGTTTAATTTAGCACACCCTGTATGTATGTATGTATATTAACTCCCACTGTATAGAAACCCGAGTTTGTTTATCAAAACTAGGAAAACTAGGATACAATCAGGAGAAAATAGATAAGCACACACAGATGGAGAGACGATTGGCATAAGATCACGACTAAGGACGGATGGGGGGGTAACCTTAAGGTAACTCAACTCAGTTAATGGGTGTGGGAGGGTCCCCTTTCCTACATACATGGCGGGCATGTTGAAGGTCTCAAACATGATCTGGGTCATCTTCTCTCTGTTGGCCTTGGGGTTAAGGGGGGCCTCAGTCAGAAGGACGGGCTGCTCCTCGGGGGCAACGCGGAGCTCGTTGTAGAAGGTGTGATGCCAGATCTTCTCCATATCATCCCAGTTGGTGATGATTCCGTGCTCAACAGGGTACTTCAGGGTGAGGATACCTCTCTTGCTCTGGGCTTCATCTCCAACATAGGCATCCTTCTGTCCCATACCGACCATGACTCCCTGGTGACGGGGACGGCCAACGATGGAGGGGAAGACAGCTCTGGGAGCGTCATCTCCAGCAAATCCAGCTTTGCACATTCCAGATCCATTGTCTACGACAAGAGCAGCAACATCCTCGTCACACATCTTGTTTGATATCTACTACAAGCTGTGTGTAGAGTGAGCAGCAGAAAACTGATAAACTGTACTCCTGTGTCCGAGCATTTATGCTTTAGCACAGATAGGAAAGCAGATGCATGAAGACCATATAAGGTAATGTATTGTGTTGACCTGTTCAATTGACCGGTCGCTAGGAAAATCAGGGAATGTTTGGGAACATTGTGTTTAAATTTCCTACTAACCGGGCTATTGCCTTGATTTCAAGATTCCCAGGAGTGACCCTGAATATTCAAATCTATCAATCATTAATATTTATACATGAATTCAACAAACATATTTTCTATGTGAATTATTGGCATTTTTACATGAATATATCAAATATAAAATTGTACAAATGTGTGCACTTTCTATCAAATCTGAAAAGCCTACACATGCTAAATATACCGGTAATTGTTAAGAACAATTATGCTCAAAATCAGTTTCTTTTATAGTTTTTAGTTCGTAAATTTTATATAAATGATATACAGGACACCCTTCAAAATATAGACTTCAATGACGACATCGACATGGAACTCTTTCTAAATCTTTTCTCAATGTAAAAACAATTTTATCACTCTGCGCTAAATTTCACTTTTTTTAGGTTACAGTACTGCAAATCACTACGGTACACACCGAAAGCTTAATTTATGTTTTATGTATACAATTACTTTAAATCTTAAAAGTTAGAAATAAGACCAAATTAGTTTCGTGCAGTAAATTCTGATATCTCATTTTGAGATATTTAAGATTATCTAATCTTAATATGATGTTAAACATAATCGCGCAAATCTAATCTTAATATGATGTTAAACATAATGGAAATCTAATCTTAATATGATGTTAAACATTTTGGCGAAAATCTAATCTTAATATCATGTTAAACATAATTGCGCAAATCTAAGCTTAATATGATGTTAAACATAATGGCGCAAATCTAATCTTAATATGATGTTAAACATAATCGCGCAAATCTAATCTTAATATCATGTTAAATGGCGCAAATCACTCCACAGAATGTAAACAAATCCGGGTGGAAGATTTTTTTGCTTAATATTAATATTATATTTTGGTCAAAATTATTCTAATTTTCCAGTTTGAAGTTTCTGTAAGAGATTTATACAATATTTTCTAGGAAACAACAATTATAAAATCAACCAAAAAAGTACGCCCTGAGTCACAACGTGGTATTACTTACAGTGAATATCAGAAAACAATTGAATAGGCAAACGACATCATAGCAATACTAATGGGTATTTGATGTTGTTACAAAGCAAATAGTTTTATATCTAGACCCTTATCAAATAACAAGTTTAGTGAAATGGGTCTGTTTACGCTCCAAAATTGCTGTGGTTCATGCTCATTGAACTTTTAGAAGTTATGATTTGATTCTAAAAGTCGTCTTCCTATTTCAGGGTTTAATCTTTATCACTGTAGTAGCTTAATAAACCATTTATTTAGTTTAATGAGTATGTTTGCACTTGACTTGACTTGCAATTGATGTGTTTCATGATCATTGGATTCTTCAAGCCATCTCGAGTCAAAAAGTCGTCTTCGTATTCCTCAGTTTCCGTTTCTCAGTGTACAATTGTAAATAAAGGAACTGGACACATGCCTCAAACTCTAATTTTCCAATTCTTATATCTTTGCATGCAAGATTATGTCGTGAACCTAAGATATTTCAAACTAGGCCAATCTCGCCAAGATCAAATAGTTAAAGCTTGAATATCAAAGGCACAAAAATTTAGGATTTATCAATAAAAATATCCTTGTTTTAATTCATGAAATACCTTCAATTACTTTTTGTTTAAGAATTTAAAGAAAAATATTAGTTTTTTTAGTTTTGAATGAGAATACTAGTATTAGCAATTGCAAGCAAAAGATTTTAAATTATTTTAATCAGAAAGAATGTCCACAGGGTTACTAAAAATACTTTTGAGACATTTGAAAGACGACATTTATCATTTTTAACTAGTCCCCATTTTACAAACGGAAAACAAAAGAAAAGTTAAGCACTTTTTCATTAACGTTATTTATCAATACATTTTCATTGAAAAAATCAAACTATATTAAAACCTGTGAAAAGATTAACGAGGTTTATAAGTTAGATTCTATCATTTTAAGAAACAAAATTCATAGCTTTATTTACAAATAAATATATTGAATATTATCTAGAATCCGACCATGGCACACAATATTTGAATTTTCTTGTTTTTCAGGGAGTCTTCCTCGGATAAGCAGTTGTATAATGAATTCACCTACATAAATTTACAGCTCCAAATCCGTGTATGAATGACGTCTTCGTCAATTTGAAATTTCTTCAAAAAATTTGAGTCTTAGACGAAATCATCATCATCATTCCTTGGCGTACTATTGGAGACCTCCTTTTATTTGAGACCCAATGGGCGTCTCGCTGGAGACCGCCAGATTTTCTTTGGAGACCCCATATTTTCGTTGGAGACCTCCAATGAGAATCTACGAGAAAATAGGGGTCTACAACGAAATTCTGGGGTCTCCAATGAAAATTTGGGGGTCTTCAAGGAAAACATGGGGGTCTCCGATGAAAATATGGGAGTCATCAATGATAATCTTGGGGTTTCCAATGAAGAAACGGGGGTCTCCAACAGGAATCTGTGGGTATCCAAAGAGAATCTGGGGGTCTCCAATAAAAATCTGCGGGTTTCCCATGAAAATATGAGGCTTCCAATAAAAATGTGTGGGTCTGCTAAGAAAATTTGGAAGTCTCCAACGAGAATCCGGGGGGGGGGGGGTCTCCAAATAAAATAGTCTCTTACGAAAATCTAGAGTCTCCAATGAAAATCTTGTGGTCTCCAATGAAAATATGAGGGTTTCCAACAAAAAACTGGTGGTCTCCAATGCAAATATGAGGGTTTCCAATGAGACGTGCATGTGATTCTCCAATGAAAGGGGGTCTCCGATAATGCTCCAATAATGATGATTTCTTCCCATACTCGAATATTTGTATTTCTGACATAACATGACAGGAATAAATTTATATTATTTAGGCATCAATGATCGTCGTTTTCCGTAAGGATTTAAATATACATGTATCCATTGATTTTAAGAAAGCAAAAATATCTCAGAGATTAGAGATGCTCAAAACAACAAAAACTTGAAAGTTAAAAAAACGCTTTTAAGGAACCGCCTCTTTTCCTGTAAATAATTTTGCTCTGAAAGTTTTGAATTGTTTTTAAACTGCGGCGGATATTTTGGTTTGAATTGTTTTTAAACTGCGGCGGATATTTTGGTTTGAATTGTTTTTAAACTGCGGCGGATATTTTGGTTTGAATTGGCACATTTTCAAAAAGGACAATTCCGACTATTTTCCTTTTGATTTCTTCAAATTTTGATATTTATTAGATACAAACGGACAGACAGACAGACAGACAGACAGACAGACAGACAGACGAGCAAAACATTTACAAATGTCGGATTTAGAAAAGTTTCCTTCATACAGTCAACCCTACTTAACATTTCTCTTTGACCTGAAACAATCTTATTTTAGTAAATTGATTTATGTGATAATTGAATATTTGAATTGATTTATGTGATAATTGAATATTTGAATTAATCACATTATTTGTTTAATTTTTTCGTTAAAAGCAAAAATACTGATAATGCTTTTTTTGCGTTTTTCAAGAACAAATTTGTTTTTTAAATTTTCTAATAAAGATACGAATTACGTTGATTTTATCCTTTAAAGATAATTGCTGATTCATTTTTGCGATTTGAAAAATAATTAGACAAATAGTTGATATTGATTGATTTTTAAAAAAGAAATTAAACGATTCATTGAATTCACAACATTAAATGATAACTATATCACTTAGATATGTATAAAAAAGTTCTTAATTTTGCAATTTTTTCTGCAAATTTCAGTTGAGCTGTTTCAATATGCAAATTAAAGGATTCAGTATCCCATAGATGTCCCACTTTTTAAGTAAATGAAGACGATTTTCTATTTGCATAATTTTTATCACAATCTAATCGAATTCGTGTAAAATCCATGACCGTAAAGCATGAAATATGTAAACTTAAATTTCTAATAATGAATAATTTGTTCCTATAATACACCACCAAAATATGTAAACAATCCTTTAATAAACTTTTTAAAAAGGTTTAATTTTATTTATTTCCTACCTATATTTACTCCTTTCTTGATTGGTATAATTGTCGCTACTCGTCCTTGCTTGTTTTTACTAAACAAGTTTTTATACAGTTTAACCCAGAACTTTGGAGACATCAAAAGCGTTAATAAAATGTCGTCTTGACAATTTTTTAATGGGTTTTATACTATTTACCGATATCTAAGTAATTGTAGAAATTAATAAATAGATATAAAATGTGCAAAGCTTTATATAATTATTTACCGAATAAACTAAATATCTTCCGCATTTAAAAAGACGACATTTTAAAAATTCTTTTGATAACTCCGAAAACTGTATTAAAGGGAATGTCGTTGAAATTTTAAATGATTCGCATGTTTAAACCATTATTTGTTATGTTATGTTGAAGATATCATCGTCTTATTTATCAATCTGTTTTTAATCCCGATATTGTCATTCCATTGTTTCTACAGAAAAGAATGCGTAAGTCAGCTTTCTGGAGAAAGGACAATTTTAAAAATAGTGAATTAAAAGAGACAACGTGGCTACTGGTTATATAGCTCATTCTCAGGGGGGCTAGATCTTAGCTACCTTTTCGTGTGTTTTAGCCTGAGTGTACACTTGGGATAGTTTACTGATAAATTGATATTTACAATTAGTAAAGGATTAGCGTACATCATCACTCTATAACAATAACCTCGTTGCTGCTCATTCTAGATCAGACTAAGGTTTAAGGGGTTTCGCTTTGAATTGTAATTTCTACTAATTAATGGCACGAGTCACTCGAAATTACGACGTCAGTCCCTTTAAAACATCTTGTATTGACATTTCTCGATGTTAGTTTTAAAGGAAAATTAACACTCGCCTCAAACTCTAGTTTCCTAATTAAGAATTAAGATATTCTTTCATTAATTGTGGAAACAGTTTCTTTATTTCAAATTTTGCCTATTTTATATTTTTGAATAAATAGTTTGAAATATCAAATTATAAGGTCTATAACGTCAAGGCTGCATAGATACAGGGTGTCCCATGAAACATGACAGTTAGTGAATAGTTTTAAATGCCTTCTTCCATTATTTGTTAAGCTCTTTGACACAAAAGAGATTATCACTAATAAGAAATATAAAATGGCAGTCATTTTCTAGTAAAATTGATTTCAAAGTAATTTGAGTAAACGATTTTGCTGACGAACTAAACTACAAAAAGTCTTTATAATATCTAATATTTTATGTAGAAGAAGACATTCAAAACCATTCGTCAACAGTCATGTTTCGTGGGACACCCTATATGAGAATGGGAAAATTAGCTTTTGAGCGAGTGTTTATTTCCTTTTTTAAAAAGAACATATGCATATGATCTAACCACCACCGAATTGTTTCCTTTCAGAAATTGGCAAATCTAATCTAGAACTGACCAGTGAGACACAATTTTGATTTAAACAGATTAAATGAATTTAATGAATTTGAGCCCAGTCTTAAATCCGCCAAAAGCCAGTTTCAAATGAGAGCCGGCTTAAATCTCGAAACATTAAATACAATTCTAAGTGGAACCAGCCGAGTCTCAAATTCAAGCTCCGGCTCAAATTCTTTAAATTTGGCCTCAGATTAAATGAATTCTTAAAAGTCTAAAACTTGTTTAACATTCATTTCTGGCGGAGCCCAGGACTTTTGTTCATGTCCTAATTTTAACTTTAAATCTTTTTGACCAGTTATATGGATTTTTTTCTGGGGTTAATTACAAACGCGTTGGCGATGTATGAATGTAAAGAGTACTAATTTTATACTTATCCCAAAACCAAATTTTATTTTATTTTAAACTCAACCTTAAAAAAATTCATAAAAGTTTAAACTTATGTCCAAGTGCATTACTATCATGATGTTTTGTTTGGAAATATTGTCAGGACGCTTAAAAAAAGTGACAAGGCAATGCAAACTTACAAAATTTTAAAGAATTTTCACATTTAACCCCCTTCCCTGTTCTAAATCAAAGCTCCGTGAGAACCCCATCCCTGTTCTAAATCAAAACTCCGTGAGATGCAAATTCAAATATAATCTTTAATTTTCTTAAATTAGATATATTTAATGTTTATGTTGTTGAATATCTGATGTTAATTTATGTGTATTTAGAATACTAAAAATAAAATCTCAAGTATAAAATATGCATTCTATTTCGTCACACAGTTTATCCAATAAGTGAGACATTGAAAGAATTTTTAAGATGTCATTTTTTTGTGATCAAATCAGCGCCCAATTATATGAAGCTATTTCAGTGCTTTTTTTAACTTTACAGACATATTCTCTAAATAGTCCTATAGAGGAACTTACATCACAAATGCATATGTGAATGTGATATGCATATGATATGTCCGTACTTTTGTTTTCTTCTATATAGAATGAATGTGTTTTTGCGACAATCTTAGATTTGTATCCCTATATCTTTGCAGCCTAATGTCCTATAGACCTTTTATATTAAAAACAATCAATCAAATTGTCTCAAGTTTATTATATCATAGGTAAATATATGCATTTAAACAGTTTGTGACTTTTGTGAAGAAACAATCTCAAGGAATAATAATTGTCTTAAAACATTTTATAAAAAAGTGAATATTTGCAAATTATCTTTTTTCCATCTCATAATCTGAGTTCGTTTCCCTTATGTCCATTTGACAGCCCAAATTTTTATTCTGAATAATTTTTTTGTTTTTTTTATTTTCTTGTGATTTTTAACAACATTTAAAATTTTTTTTTTTATCGATTTTGATGGTTATTATATCGTTAAAACGAGGGTTAACCCAGACCGAAATATATTTTCAATAAATGTGGAACTAACATCTACTTTTTTACTCTACAGAGGTTTGGTCCATCACCATCACCGAATTTTAAAAGGTAAATGTATAATCAGGTTGCAAAGATAAAAGGATAAAATATTTTTAGTCTGTGGCAAAAAGTTAGTTTCTTTGTTTAATATTAAATATGATAAAATGAGAAAAGAGGTAAATTATTTGTATTTACCTGAAGAAGTATGGACCATAGTGCATTATTGATTCATAATCATATTCAAAATTTCTAGTTGTATCGTCATCAGTCTTGGTTACAAAATTAGCTAGTTTCCCTGATAAAATTATTATTACTATTATTATTACTAATAATATTTTTTTTGTTCATAAATAACATTTAAAATCTACCTTTCCGAACATTATTGGAAATGATTTTGATATAATTATCTCTGTCTGATCTAAATAGAACAATATTTATATGGAACTAGAAAATTAGTAAAAAAAATATTAATTTATTAGAAAAAAATTTATGTTCAACGTTTATCAGAAATGGTATCGCATATTTGATCAAATTTGTTATATTTTGGATAGAGAAACTGAGTTTCTGACACAAACTCTAATATTATACCTAATCAAAGTTGCAAAGATACTAATTTGCTAATTTAAATAACATATAAATAATGATTTGTATGTATGAAGGAAATCTTAGAAACTATCTATTAAAAAAAAACTATTTCTAAAATTTGTTATTAATTAACGATCTATTGGCGAACATTTGAAAGTTCGAAGTTTCAATAAATAATCTCATATAAAAGAAAAAAAAATATAAATAAATATCACATTTATGGCACGATAATGTATTGTAGTTTAATCAGTAAATTTTTGGAACGATTCAGTTTCAAAACTGGTTAATTGATTAGTTGACTATTTGATTGATTGATTATTTCTTTTTTGATTGCTTGATACAACTATATACCTGGAGTGTTCATGGTAGAACCCGAGAGTGTGCATTATTTCGTGTAAAGCTCTAAAATATAAATTCTAGAGAATAAAAATAATTATAGGATTTGCGGAAAAAACGTAATTAAGGATTTCAAGAGAAATATCTATACTTGTCGTTAATATGTTCTATCTGTAAATAGTATTCAAGTTTCTACCTCGTGAAACGGTTCTTTTTTCAATTTTTTTTTCATTGTCACCGTTCACTAAACCCTAAAAATGGTTGGGGATTTTTCTGCGCCCACATTTTGGCTTTAAACATAAAATCACCAAATTTGGACGCCCCCCCTTCACTTAAAAAAAAAATAAAATTACAGCGAAGATTAAAGATAAATCCAAAACGGATGAAAAAGGAAAAAGGAAGCCAAGTAAAATGGCAATTTTTTTTTGATTTCCTATTTATCACATTTTCACTTATTTCCACAGAGCAGAGAATAGAATAGAAGGGAAATAATACTACATATGTTTTTGAATTTGTTCAGTCCCTTTGTGTCTCAATTCCAGGTCCCAAATGTGTAAGGTACACCTGCAGAATGGAAACAGCACGACACACGGACAGCCGTAGTACATTTGAATTTCCGAGCCGGATCAACCTTTCCGGTCCCAGATTTTACTGTATCGCCCGGACATTGGGTAAAGGAAGCAGACACTCAATAGGACTAGCCGGTGAAACAAGGTTGACGTGGTCAGATTTTTGGTTGAATTTACTTTTACTGAAGGGTCAGGGGTGCGTGGACAATACATCGGTTTTTCACTTTTTCTGACTTAATTCCACTCTATACTGCTACTAATCTATTCTTTGTGCATATTTGTTACCTTCCTGCAGAGCAGAAACATGAACAGGAATTCTTTTTCGGTTGCTCAAGTGAAACCTAGATAAAAGATATGTTCAACTTGATTTTTATTTCTAACAATAAACCTCAAAATGGATCAAAATCAATGACTTAAGACTAAAAAAATAGATTATCAATTAATCATACAATATACAGTGATAACCAGAAAACAAAGGAATATAAAGACGACATTATTTTAATACTTAAGCGTTTTGATGTTGTTACAAAACAAATATTTTTACGTATAGTAACTAAGTAAAGCACAACTTAAGTGAAAAGAGTCTATTTACACTGTACAAATGCTTTCTGGTTTTCTGGTTATCACTGTTTCGCATTATATTTATGTTTTCTTTCCTTTAAGTGATATTAATAAGTTTTTTGCATCGAAATTAAAAATCTCGTGGTAAAATGATTTCAAAATCATACTTTTACATAAAGTGAAACCTTAATATGTTGAAATTGAGTTTTAAAATTGCCCCTAAACGCGCAAAATGTAAAACTTTTAAGTTTTCAAAATTTAAATCATAAATTAACCCCCCCCCCCCCCCCATCCTATCATTTAATATCTTTTTTCCCAAATATGAAATAATAAATTTCCCCATATTATTGTCTATATCTATCTATTGATCTCTCTGTATCTATCTATTCATTTGTCTATCTTTATTTTAGCTTTCTAACAAACAAAAACGCTTTGCTATTTTTTTTGTGTTTAAAAGAGCTTGTAAGAGATTATCCATGCTTAACAGTAAAATGTTTAAGATGTTAAGTAAAACCCATTTTCATAAAGGGACTGCAGTTGCTGTAAATTCAAGTGACCTCTTAATTAACAAGGGTAATGATAGATTCACAACGGTACCCTTAAAAAAATTATTAGATCAATGGCAACGAAGATATCGTCGTTTTCTAACTTCAAAATTGTTTTGTTATGATTCTCCATTGTTCCTGTAGCAGAAATCCACTATGTTACTTTTAAAGCAATAACTTCAAATCAATTTTTGGCCTACAACACCCCACCGCCACCCGGTCCAACCGTTTGGCCAGCAATACGCAACATATATATGAATGTCTTGGTTTTTTATATAGAAAATATAAATATGCAATATATTTGTTTCACTTGACGTATTTACCCGAGCATTTTCTTATCAGGATGGAAGAATAGATAATCCTTCTCTTTTCCATCCCAAACCTAAACAAATTATCTATAGGTAACATTTAGGATGCGTCGCACCCCATCTTTCTAATACTCAATTGAGTTTTCAGTATTTAAAACAAATTTATCTCTGGCCATGGCAGAACCCAACGAAGAAATTCGTGTTATTCATTTCAGACCATTTGACAAGATTTTGACGTAAAAATTTAGTAAAGAGAGAGACCGGCTAGGTAACGTGTTGGAACCGAGAGTGTAGTACTTTTATAGTTAAATGTGTATGAAACACAGCAGATTGCACTAAACACGTTGATTTTCAAGCTAATTTAGTCAAACTTTTTGCTTTAAAACCACATCGAATACTGCTTAAATTTCGTCTTCTTTTTCCAGTGTTGTATTGTCCTACTGTAGGAGTTATGGGAAAGAAAGGACAGAGAAAGTTAAATAGAGAAAATGAGTAAACAAAATGTTTTATGACTCGAAAATGTAAAGTTGGGATACATGTACATACATAAGATAGAAATTAAATAATACTCTATAGGGCATAATTGGGAGTTGGGACTAAAGTGAACACAAGAAACCCTAGATAAAAAAAAAAATTGCTGCATTATGACTGTTGGGCATTTTAAATGTAGAGGAAATCTCTTTAATGAAAAACAAGAATGAAAAGAGAAAAAATTACCCGAAATCTGATACAACTAACAAATGCTATAGTTTGCATCGCACTCTCAATAACTCGTATTTCGCTGGCAGCTGAAAAATATAAAAAAATAAGATTTGTCTAGAGAAGAGAGAAGAGAAAAGAGAGAAGAGAGAAGAGAGTTGCATTTTATTAACTGAAGACGTAGTTTAAAGTGACCCTTAATAAAAATTTTAAAAAAGTGCCACGTCCGATTCACAACGGTGCCCTTTAACCTATCACGGCTGGGGGGGGGGGATTCTTCCACCCCCCCATCCCTGAGGTTTTTTAAATAAATTAAAAACGGCTAACATTAGAACGCTGAAACTTTTTTACTTTTTCAACCTCGTAGTTTTGAACAAATTTTACTAAAAGCATAATTAAGGATTAAGGACAGTCAAACGGCGAGTCGGTGTTTAAAAAAAGTCAGATATGCTTAATAATGTTTATAATTCTTCAAGTCAGCATCATTGCAAAAACTGACACTCCAGTGGGAGGCTGCGTGTTAAACAGCCCCTGGCTATCAATGCCTCCCCGTCTCAAGTTTATAAATATGTTTTAAAATTTTCTATGTTTTTGGCTTGGGACAAATATATATATTTGATTTGATTTGATTTGATAATTAAAAATTTATATATTTGAAAAGCTCTTAAAAAATGGATGTAATAACATGTGTCACGTGTTAATATTTGTCAAAATTAAAATAAACTATTTTTTAAAACATTTGCCGACCACTTTTTGAACTTTTTAAATATCTTTCCTTGCACCCTTACCAGTAAAGTTAGAGGTCTAGTTTTTTTTTAATGAACAGGCATGGAAAAGTTTGACTAATGACATGTATCACACTCCCCTATCTTTACTTTAGTAGACAAAAATAGCCCAGCCGAGATAGGGTTAAACCTGCTATATGATCGACTACTGTTACTACAACTATAATACTCGACTCTTAATATTTCCAAGAAAACAAATAATTTTTTTTAATAAAGAAAACAAATAACATTGGAAATCAATCAAATCAATAAACAGTATTTTTTCTAAAAACTGGATAATCATTATTTACAATTTGTTTCTAAAAATACGAAATCAATGTATAAAAAAAAATCTGAATTTTTTCAGCGCATTTTAACATGTGTTTAAGGAAAATAAATTAACCCTTTTGTAAAGGCTACACACATCCTAAGGGATTTTTACATTTTTAATGATTAATCAAAAATAGTTAAAAATAAGAACTAAGTATAGACCTAAAAAAGTAAATCACAACACAACTGTTTTTCAAACATATTTTAATACTTACAGTGTACTGAACTGATAAGGTAGGGTATGGTATTATTCGGCCACTTTTTAGCGGGAGAGATCTCAAAGTTGATTGATAGTCGGGAATTTCCCTAAAAAGAACAACAGTACATTAAGAATAGGGTATAAAATCACGATCGTTTTTTAACGATAGATTTATTAAACAATCTTTTAGTAGATAAGTTTATGAATGATGTCTTAAATATTTTTTTTTATCGAGAGAAATAACGTTAATGTTTTCTGACCAAAGGGATTTCAGATCTAAGAATTTTCCGACCAAAACATTTTGTCGTTAGCGATCGTCAAAAATTAAAAACGACCTACATTAGTTAACGAAACGACGAACTTTTTCAAAAGAGACCGTTTTTTAAAAACGATCATCTTTAAAAACGTTTTTAAAAACGATAGTTTCGTTTTTCGTTTTTTCTTTGACGTTTTCAAACGAAAATCTGGTATCTGGTTTTTAGTATCTGGCATCTAGTATATGGTATCTAGTATCTGATATCCAGTATCTGGTATCCTGTATGTATCTAGTATCTGGTATCTGGTATCTGGTATCTGGTATCTGGTATCTGGTATCTGGAATCTGGTATCTGGTATCTGGTATCTGGTATCTAGAATCTGGTATCTGATAGCTGGTATCTAGTATCTAGTATCTAGTAGGTAGTATCTAGTATCTAGTATCTGGTATCTGGTATCTGGTATCTAGTATCTAGTACCTAGTATCTGGTATCTGGTATCTGGTATCTGGTATCTAGTATCTAGAATCTGGTATCTGGTAGCTGGTATCTGGTATCTAGTATCTAGTATCTAGTGGGTAGAATCTAGTATCTAGTATCTGGTATCTGGTATCTGGTATCTAGTATCTAGTATCTGGTATCTGGTATCTGGTATCTGGTATCTTGTATCTAGTATCTAGAATCTGGTATCTGGTAGCTGGTATCTGATATCTAGTATCTAGTATCTAGTAGGTAGTATCTAGTATCTAGTATCTAGTATCTGGTATCTAGTATCTAGTATCTAGTATCTAGTATCTGGTATCTGGTATCTGGTATTTGGTATCTAGTATCTGGTTTCTGGTATCTAGTATCTAGTATCTGGTATCTGGTATCTAGTATCTAGTATCTAGTATCTGGTATCTAGAATTTGGTATCTGGTATCTTGTATCTGGTATCTAGTATCTGGTTTCTAGTATCTGGTATCTGGTATCTAGTATCTAGTATCTGGTATCTGGTATCTAGTATCTAGTATCTAGTATCTAGTATCTAGTATCTAGTATCTAGTATCTAGTATCTNAGTAACTAGTATCTGGTATCTAGTATCTGGTATGTAGTATCTAGTAACTGGTATCTGGTATCTAGTATCTAGTATCTGGTATCTGGTATCTAGTATCTAGTATCTGGTATCTGGTATCTAGTATCTGGTATCTGGTATCTGGTATCTGGTATCTGGTATCTAAAATCTGGTATCTGGTATCTGGTATTTGGTATTTGGTATCTAGTATCTGGTATGTAGTATCTAGTATGTGGTATCTGGTATCTGGTATCTAGTATCTAGAATCTGGTATCTGGTATCTGGTATCTGGTATCCTGTATGTATCTAGTATCTGGTATCTGGTATCTGGTATCTGGTATCTGGTATCTGGTTTCTAGTATCTGGTATCTGGTATCTGGTATCCTGTATGTATCTAGTATCTGGTATCTGATATCTAGTATCTGGTATCTGGTATCTGGTATCTAGTATCTGGTATTTAGTATCTAGTATCTGGTTTCTAGTATCTGGTATCTGGTATCTGGTATCTGGTAGCTGGTATCTGGTATCTGGTATCTAGTATTTAGTATCTGGTATCTGGTATCTGGTATCTGGTTTCTGGTATCTGGTATCTGGTATCTAGTATCTAGTATCTGGTATCTGGTATCTGGTATCTAAAGTGTAATCAGATCTGGTAGAAAGCGGTGACAAGACTTAAAACTATTGAATGCTGAGTTTATACAATGAAGTAAATAAACCATGTATTCTAATTTGCATTGCAATTCATTTTCCATCTATCTATCTATCTATCTAACTGTCTATCTATCTATCTATCTATTTACCTATCTATATTTAAATGTATCTATCTATCTATATTTTTATTATATCTTAAATCCAGTCCTTTAAGATTTTGATTGTGTTCACTGTATTTAGTGAACGTTGAATGAAATGAAATGTTTTTGGTTTATTTTCTTTGTGTTACAGTTTTTTCTGCAGTTAAATATTTGACCAATTCCAGTTTTTCCAGTTTTTTTGCAATCAGCTGTGATGCATTGCAACCAGTCAGTCTAACGAACACACTTTTATGTATTTTAGTTTTCACAGATTTCTTATGAAAATATAAATAGATTGATTTCAAACGTTGTCTGTTGAATAACTTGTTGAAAGATTTGGGATTTTATATTGGAATTTCATTTTGACTTATATTGATGGACCGGTGGGGGAGGGGAAATAGCGGGTTAAAGGGGGGGGGATGAGGATTCATTATGTGAAACATGCTTACCGAAGGCATCGCTATATCTCCCTCTATTAGATCGTTTATGGTCTCGGGGTCATCTAAAAAATCTAATTTAGGGAAAATATTAAATAACAAAATTGGATTTATACCTTCGTTATCTCCAGGTTCTTGATCAATGATCTTGTCATTCAAGTCATCATTATCCTCCTCATTTTCACCGAACTCGGTTTCAAGATCATTTAGTTCGTCTAGTTCATTATGTTTCAATTCATCCTGTTCCGAGATGGTTTTTAACAATTTATTATTTCTCCGACCGAAGATATTTTTGATCTGATCCCGGCTGTCAGCCAGCTCGTCTAAAGTTTCACTAAATTCATCAATTTCAGTTTCGTTTAGGATTAGAGAACCTAGTTTTGAGGTTGATAGACTAGTTTTTGCATTGATAGGTTCACCGTTTCTAGCAGGAGAGGGGGAGAATGAAGGTTCAAGGTTCGGGGACGCAGGTTCTCCAGGTGTAGGTTGAACCAGGGGAGAGGAGTATTGATGCTTCTGGAGTAGACTGGAGTTAGGGTTGGAGTAGAGGGAGGGAGAAGTGACAGATTTGCTGTTGTAGGATTGGATTTGGTTGTAGGACAGAGAAGAGGAATTGGAGTAGGATTGAATATGACTAGAGGTAGGAGCATTAGGTCTGGGATTAGATGAAGGATTATATGAACTGGAATAGACTGAAGGATTAGATGAACTGGAATAGACTGAAGGATTAGATGAACTGGAATAGACTGAAGGATTAGATGAACTTGAAAAGGATTGAATCTGGTTTGATGAAGGATTTAAAGAAGATAAGTAAGGTTGGTAATGGTTAGAGGAGGGACTGGATTGAATATAGCTGGATGAAAGATAAGATGGGAAAATTACAGTGTTTCCACTTCTTCTAGTTGGTACAGGAGATACATGAGACCTGAATTAAATTACATAGTAGAATATAGTATAACAAGGAAATGGTTTCTTCAAGATTTTTCATACAGTGAGACCCATAAAGCTGTGGAATAGAAACACAAAGTTAAAGGGAGTGTTCGCGAAAAATGAATACCGAAAAAATTAGCGTCCATACAAATTGAGAAAATTGCAACATACGACTTAGACCGTAAAAAAATCAATTTAATTTCAAACAAATCATTCAGATATTACAACCTATAGTCATCGACGATCTTTCGCCGCATTTGTAAATAGTTTATATTTTATAATATTTTTAGTAAATAGTTTGTAAATTGAATAAAGTAATGCTACTCGTGAAACTATTTGCTTTTTAAAAATATCAAATTAACATAAGTTTGTTGAATGTCGTCTATCCTTTTCACAGTGTGATAGTTCTCACTTCTAAATAAATAAGTAAATAGGTGCTTAAACAGGTACATAGGTGCTTAAATATAGGTTAATAGGTTTTTTTCTTTGTCCTAAGCCCTAATACACAGAACGTTATATGAAAAAATGCATAATTGAAATAGGTAAAAAATTAAGAATGGGTGAGGAAGGAAGGAAGAAAAATGAAGGAAGGATGATAGATTTTGAGGTTTTCCTCAAATTTGAATTTTTGGTTTTTGAGGTTGTGGTATTTTTGCAATATAATATATATAATATATATATTACCTGTTGAAATTAGGGTGACTGGGATAATACTTTATATTATTATTATTATTGTAAATTTGGCTCTGACCCGGTATTCCTAAAATAAATATTTTTCAAAATCAAGGATTAAAAATTTTCTTTTTATTATTAAGAACAATTTTTTTATTAATATACATGACATATATAGTATTTGTACTCTTACCAAATAAACTTAAAGGGAGTGTTCGCAAAAAATATAAGGGGGTGTAGGCTTAAGGCAAAAAATTATCGATGATAATCGCTACTATTCTTAGTTCTATCTGTAGCGTCTATAAGGATAAAATTGTTAAAAAAACTACTAATACCGAAGAACGTATCGTCCATACGAATTAAGAAAGTTGCATCATACTACTCGGATCGTAAAAAATTATAGAAATTGATTGTTTTCACGATCCGAGTGAAAACTAAGATTCACAACTAAAGTTCTGAATTAAGTTTTGTCTTTGTTTTTGTCTACCAGTGTCCGAATTTAATGAATTTAAGCCGCGTCTCAAATCCGCCAAAAACCGGTTTCAATTGAGCGCCGGCTTCAATCTCGAAATTTAATACAATTTTAAATAGAACCAACCATATTTGAGCCGTGGCTCAAATTCCTTAACTTCGGCCTCAGGTTCATTTAAGAAATGATAATTGAGTTTTTTTTTTGGTAGGTTTTCACACACTCCACTGCCGCTTTAGTAGTTGTAAATTGGAGGTACATTGTGATTCAATCTTTTTAAAATCTAAGATTTCGATAGAAATAACTTATATACACATTTTTGCTTTTCTGAACTTTTTTTGAGAGAAAAATAAGGATCGCGGATTTTCTTTTGGGCCATTGGAGTACCAAAAAAATTACAAATTTTCAAAAAAATATTGAAAAACCCCCATAAAGGAGAGTTGCACAAAAAAGGTACAATTTTGCACCAGGCGTCTCAAATCACACATTTCTTTTTACTCATCCTGTATATATATAAATAAATAGATTGAATAAAGTGTACTGTATCCTGTATATATATATATAAATAAATAGATTGAATATAGTGTACTGTACCCAATATACCCTCCATTCAAATTTTTAACAGAAAGGAAGTATACAATACAGTGTGGGTTTATAGACACAGTTAAACCAACAGTGAGTTGGAGAAAAATTTGATTGTTCAATCTACAGGGTGTCCCAAAAGCATGCTCATGAAGTTCTGGCTTACATATTGTATTTTGTAAATGAAAAAATACTGTATCTCTTTTAAGCTATTCAAAATGTGGTCCTCCGTTCTTCTATCTTCAAAACTTAGATTAAGAAAACTGGGTCAACATTCTAGAGGCCATTTCAAAATATACTATTACAGAGGCAGATCTCTTGAACACATTACTAGAATTATCAGATCAATTATATACAAAGCGTCTCTATCATATTGGATTATTTCCACAGAGAATAGAATATATAGAGAGGAATTTACTGGAAAAAAGTGTAAAACGGCCATTTTGTTGTACTGTTTCCATACTGCAGGTGTACTTCACATATTTATGCTATATAACCTGTTGGGCCCTGGAATATCATTTTATAGAAAATCTAAAATTATTTGACCAATTATCATTTCATATAGACTCTTTGCCTTTCACTTTACAAACGAAGATTTTCCGTTATAACTATAAATCAAATGATGTTTTTATTCACCTAATTCATTATAAAGTTTATTTAACAGTTTAAAAAATTCGAAATTGAAATAAATAGTCTAGGGAACATGCTGTATTAATGTACTCTACTGCATATAATTTGTAAACATTTACATGATTTGTACACTTTGAACTCCCTTTCAGGCTTAAAGGGACTGAAAAAATTCATACCGAGAGATTCTTTTAATTCCTCTCTATATAGTCTATTCTCTATGATTATTTCCAAGCTTCAACGCCAAAATACGTACATAATGCTCGAAAAAAAACTGGTATTTTCTGCAAGAAATTTTTCTATTAGCCTTTTACAATTATTTTTAAATAATTCCTTTTTTATTTCTGATCTGTCCCTTAAATCTCAATCAGAGCTAAATAGAGTATAGACAATCTCATATGATGTGGGACACCCTGTAACCGATTACTAATTGGGACATACTGCTATGACTCTGCAAGTTTGTTTTATTATTTGATAACTTAATTTTCTTCAATAAATACTGCGCTCACACAATTCTTGATTGATGGAAGGTCAATGGTGATGTTTTAATCCTGATCATTCTTTAAATGTGAAGAGGAGTAAAAGTTTTAAAACTTTAAAATAAAAAAATTATGAAAATCATAAAACTTACAAAGTTTTTGTCACAAATTCAAATTTTCCAATTCCTATAACTTTAATCCTGATGGTGTAAACCTGTGATATCTCAAACTAAATTGATCTAACAGATATCATAGTTGGAAATATCTAAGGTCTACGACATTAGGTTGCAAGGATATAGGGGTTAAAAAATCTGAGTTTGCTGCTAAAACTCAATTCCTTTTAATTGAACATCTAATTAAACCAGCGTTACCTATTAAGTCAAGTTTCAACATCTAAAATAAGCTTTAAATTTTACTTTCTAATTTATGTCGTAACAAATATTTGAATTTATCATTTAAATTGTTGATTAATAAAGATCAAAAATACCGCTATCATTTTATAATAGTGTGTATTGAACCCGTATAAACTAAATCCGATTAGAGATGGATTAAAGATGAAACTGAGATATATTTTTCTAATCATTTAATTCCATCAATTTCCGCGATTTAAAAATTAGTCTCTAGATGTACTAAATATAATTGTAATAATTAAATAAGACTTGAATATCTGAAGATATTTACAGTCCGGCCCATACACCTGTAAAATGGGAAGACGACATTAAAGAAACATTTTTGTGCATTTAAAATTCAGTGATGGTGATGGACCAAACCTCTGTAGGGTAAAAAAGTAGATGTTAGTTCCACATTTATTGAAAATATATTTCGGTCTGGGTTGACCCTCGTCAGTTCTTGAGATTGTTTCTTCACAAAGATTTGTTGTTTTAAAGTAAATAGTTTTACAAGTAGTTTGAAATAAAGTGAAATGGATATGTGTAAACTGCACAATTGATCGAAATGTTGAATGTGCATTGGACACTTGAATCTAAAAGTCGTCTTCCTTTTCCACTGTTCATTGGTCCTGCAGTTTTATATCTATTTATATACTTTGATTGTCTGTTTGTTTGTATCCAATAAAACGTCAAAACGACAAAACCGATCGGGTCCCAATTTTGTGCGGGACCTCATGTGACTCCAGGGAAGGTTTATGATTGATCAAAATTTCAAAAATTAGCCTCCAAAAAAATTCGATTTTCATTAAATTTTGAAAATCCACAATTTCGATTTTTTTAAAATCCGCAAGTTTTTTGTTTGTTTGTTTTGTTCTACAATGTAGATACACAAAGAGAAAATGTTCACAATTGAAATTAAAAATGAGCATGAAGCGCCCTGAAAGCCTAATATGTATAAACTAGTTGACTCTTGTTTAGAAAGTACCTCTATAGAGTTGTGAATAGATTGGTTGTAGATTGTAGGATAAACTATACCCATATATACTAGTCAGCAGGCCTAGATATATATATAGATAGAGAGATTACTACTAAAACAAAACTAAAGATATTTTATTTTTTCAAACAATTATACACAGACACCCTATTGCACTCATAAACTCTTTAAACCTAATTTAAAGTGTGTTCCCAAAGGCATTTACCCAACTGGCAACTTCCCAAGTTCTGAAGCGCCGCAAGCTGAAATGGGAACCGAGCGTTGGGAAGTTGCTGCTATGGGAAATTTCACATTTGGGATTATTGCACTTGGATAAAGAATCTTGGGAAGTTGCCGCTCGGGAAAATACTTTTATGGAAAGTACCCAACATCTTTTTAATATATTGATTGGCATATCCTCATGCTTGTAAAAAAATCTTGAATGCTCAAAATTGAGTTGAATAACAATGCCCACCTCTATTTTGAGTGTAGACTAAAAATTTTACAAATTCTTTCTGGGCTCAAAAGTTCTTGGTTAACTGAATAAAAACTCTAAACCTCTTACCTTTATTTATTATATATGTGGTAAAATGTGCTAACCTATTAGAGAAGCAGTTCGTGTTATCACAGACAGGACCTAAGCATGTTGAACAGTGAGCGAACGTGAAAACATGTTGAACAGTGAGCGAACGTGAAAACATGTTGAACAGTGAGCGAACGTGAAAACATGTTGAACAGTGAGCGAACGTGAAAACATGTTGAACATGAGCGAACGTGAAAACATGTTGAACAGTGAGCGAACGTGAAAACATGTTGAACATGAGCGAACGTGAAAACATGTTGAACAGTGAGTGAACGTGAAAACATGTTGAACATTGAGCGAACGTGAAAAGTTCACAACTAACAGATAAAACTTGGGTTATGAGACATAAACCTAATTCCACAATATTTCTTGTTTCCTACATTTTCACCTCTCATACAATGTGCAAAATGAGTGTGCAAAGTGCAATTTTGCATAAATTGGCAGCATAAACAATGAAGAACGCCTGATACATTTGCAATCCAAATAAATATATCTTACCATGGTTTTGAGGTCCTCTATGTTTCAGATCATTTTATACAAGTAGGTAACAAAAAAGCTGAAAATTTACAGAAAAGAATTATTAAACTCATTCATGTTTTCATCTGTTTTAACTTTAAATTTCTAAACTTATGTCAAATTTTACTCTGTAATTTCTAAACCGGTCAAGGATTGGATTTTTGTCAAATTTAAGAAATTCAAAGAAAAGACGTCTGAAGGATAGGGGGTGGGATATTATATTACTAAGGCAGGGGGGGGGGGGAGGGAGGCTTAGTTAAATGGGTGTGTCCAAGCATGCTAACCATTAAGATTATAGGATAGAAAGAAGCAGAAAGCGTGATCTGCACTTGTCCATGCGTAGATTGAATATAGATAGAAATATATAGTATAAACAGAGAGATATTGTCAGCACTTGTCCATGCATAGATTGAATATAGATAGAAATATATAGTATAGACAGATAGATATTGTCTGCACTTGTCCATGCATAGATTGAATATAGATAGAAATATATAGTATAGACAGATAGATATTGTCTGCACTTGTCCATGCATAGATTGAATATAGATAGAAATATATATATATAATATAAACAGATAGATATTGTAAGATATAGATAGTTTTACAGAAAGCAAAGGTAAAATTTATGCTATATTACTAGTATGACTTTGTGACCTCGTAATTCCTCTAGTTTGGATTTTCTGTCCAAGTAAAAGAATAGTAAATGTGCATTCGGTTTAGTATTATAAATTCAAAGTATTTTTGTTTTTCTAGATAGCTCTTAAATCATAGCTGTCATGATTGAAAACATGGACGATTTCAATCGTCCGTGCAATTTAATTTAGTTTCACGTCGACTGATTTAGCTTTATAGATAGGTTTGCAAATAGATGTGCAAAACTATAGTTATATATAAAATGGAATGATAAAATAAGTTTTAGTTTATTTCTTCTTCACTTCAATGAATCGCAAAACCTAAACCCCTTTAAACATCTATTCAGACAGCAAAACAAAACAAAACAAAAACTTCTAATTTAGCTTAAGATTTCAATGACGAAACATTCTTTGAATCAAACCAGTTTTTGTAATTCCATTCTTAATGGGCCATGGGCTTTATGTTAAAGTCATTTTTTGGCTGAGGAAATTAGTTTTCATAACATGTATTTCTTTAGAATTGGGGGGAAATATTCCCACAACTTCTACTTTTAGAGGTTTTTAAATATTTTCTCCTGAAAAACTTTATTTTGTATGTTTTTGTTATATTTCATAAATAAATAAGTTTTTACTTTTACTTTAGAGTCTAAATTTAATTTATCTAAAAATCAATTCATTATATAATCATAATTAATGAAAGAGCAACAATGAAAAAATATATTTATAATTTTCATACTTCCATTTCACCCAACATAGATTTCATAAAAGTTTTTTTTTATATTGCAGTGCAATATATTGGTAATAATTTAGCATATCTGTACTATATTGACAATATAGTTACGGATATTGCCCTGTACTATATTGACAATATAGTTATGGATATTGCCCTGTACTATATTGACAATATAGTTATGGATATTGCCCTGTAATATATTGACAATATAGTTATGGATATTGCCCTGTACTATATTGACAATATAGTTACGGATATTGCCCTGTACTATATTGGCAATATAGTTACGAATATTGCCCTGTACTTTATTGACAATATAGTTATGGATATTGCCCTGTACTATATTAACAATATAGTTACGGATACTGTACTTACTTGACATTACATTTATGCACATAGCCCTGTACTTTATTGACAATATATATCTGCATATTTCCCTGTAATACATTGACAAATATTTACGGATATTGCCCTGTAATATATTGGCATTATAGTCATGAATATTGCCCTGTTATAAATTGAAAAAATATATATGGATATTGCCCTGTACTATATTGACAATATTGTTATTGATATTGTTCTGTACTATATTGACAATATATTTATAGATATTGCCCTGTACTTAATTGACATTACATTTATGCACATAGCCCTGTACTTTATTGACAATATATATCTGCATATTTCCCTGCAATACATTGACAAATATTTACGGATATTGCCCTGTAATATATTGACAATATATTTATAGATATTGCCCTGTACTATATTGACAATATATTTATAGATATTGCCCTGTACTATATTGACAATATATTTATAGACATATTTCCCTGCAATACATTGACAAATATTTACGGATATTGCCCTGTAATATATTGACAATATATTTATAGATATTGCCCTGTACTATATTGACAATATATTTATAGATATTGCCCTGTACTATATTGACAATATATTTATAGATATTGCCCTGTAATATATTGGCATTATAGTCATGAATATTGCCCTGTTATAAATTGAAAAAATATATATGGATATTGCACTGTAATATATTGACGATATATATATGGATATTGCCCAGTAATATATTGACAATATATTGATGCATATTGCCCAGTAATATATCAATATATCTATAAACCTTGACTCTTTATCTGGTTTCTAGAAATCATTCGGCCTAAAGGGACATTCTACTTTGTACTTGCTTCAGGGCTTAACAAATGCTTGGGCCTAGATCAGGCATTTTAGCCAATTCAGGCAGTACCCCTTCCACCTGATGTGACCGCCTTGAAAGGTTTATAGAGCATGCAGAATATAGGACGGTTAGGAGTACGTAGATAATATCAGGCTGGGGTTATTTATTTGATACACCTAGGCATATTATATGATGAACAAGGTATATATATATATATATATATTGTATATATAATATATATGATGTATATGCTTATCATTTTATATAATTTATGTGCATTTGAAAATGGGATAAATTGTAATTATTTGCAGGCTTGCAGACTAATAAAGAAGACTAGACTAGACTAGATAAGACTAGATTAGACTAGACTAGACTAGACTAGACTAGACTAAACTAGACTAGACTTGACTAGACTAGACTAGACTAGACTAGACTAGACTAGACTAGACTAGACTCGACTAGACTAGACAAAAATAGACTAGTAAAATCTAACTAAGCTCCGAATCTACCTCTTAGGCTCTTATCATTGCCCTATTTAGCCTTGTATCCCCCCCCCCTCCTTCTCCTCCTGCTTCTATTACCGTACAAATTAATTCGAAGGAAGTTATGGAGTGAAAGTGTAAAAAGTATTCAGTCCAAAACTTGAAAATCTTTAAAATTTGCATGCATCGATAAAGCATTATATATATATAGCAAAAACAAAACAGTGAAACAAAAAAAACATTAAAATTTTTCAAGTAAACTAAATGTTGATGTGTCAACCATCGTAATTTAATTATCTTTTCAGATCAAATTCATGCGTCTCATTTCTGCAGGCTTTCGTTTTTTTAATTTAAGCATGTTTTTGCTATTTATTTATTTTTTTAAAATTTTATTTTCGTTTTTCCAGCTTCATTCGGTACTTGTTGTTTCATTTCTTTTTTCTTTGCTTGCCTTAACATTTTCCAGTTTAAGGATGTAATTAATAAAAACAATTATCACTAGAGATTTACCTTGATACAAACAAGAAAAAGTAAAATCCCGGTCAAAAAAATACCGTTTTATTTATCAAAATGGTTCAAGAAGATTGATATCTCCTAATCACCTTCGTATATTTTATCTATTTTTTCAATATGTTTTCAATAATTTCGTTTCTTTATATCATTTATCTAAAACTTTTAGTAAAATCAGCAAATCAAATCTTAATAAATCAGTTAACAATGATCATTGAATTGTTACGGAGTTATATAATTCAACTCAAGATAAGTAGTTTAATGGTCCGGCCAGAGTATTAAGTTATTTTGTCAGAAATTAGCAGTTATCAAACCTAACCTTTTAACTTCCCAAATTTACATCTTTTGCCTTGCTATTTAAATCTGTGTAATTCTTACATGATCTACATCCAAAGAATTTTTTTATTTTTGTTTTATAACAAATGATTTTACTTCTGACTACTAATTTTTCCCTATAAAGCTCTGGACTGTAAACATAATGTCAAGTATATACGAACAAGATTTCCTTGTATTTCTGTCTGAAAATGTAATAGTTTCATTGTTGATTCTCCATACAGGTAATTTAAGGATTTATGTTCAAGAATCAATGTGGGAAATTAAACACTTGATAAGATAGAAAAATTGGCGATATCTTACTAATTTTACTCGGATTTAAAGGGTGTTATTGAAAATCGAACGTGCCACATTGCTTTTTAATGGAGGGTTGCCTGACATTATGTATAAGGTTCCTTTAAAAATAATTTGTTTTTTTAAAACAATTTTTCTGAACGTTCTGTTTCGGATGAGTGTGATAAATATTTGTTCGTTGAACGCCGGACAGTAACTGACCCAAACTAAAGAAATTTTACTATAACTACTCACGCCTATACACATTGAGCAGACGTATTTGGGCCCTGGAATACCCCTAGAATACTCGATACACATTAAGTAGGCGTATTTGAGCCCTGGAATACCCTTAGAATACCCGTACAAATTGAGTAGACATTTTGGAGCCCTGGAATACCCCAAGAATACGCGTGCATATACCCGTACACATTAAGTAGACTTATTGGAGCCCTGGAATATCTCTAGAATACTCGTACATATTAAGCAGACATTAAGAAGGCGTATTTGAGCCCTGGAAACCCCTAGAATACCCGTACATATTAAGCAGACTTATTGGAGCCCTGAAATACCCCTAGAATACTCGTACATAATGAGCAGACATATTTGGGCCCTGGAATACCCCAAGAATACTCTTAGGCATTGAGGAGACGTATTCGAGCCCTGAAAAATCTCTAGAATACTCGTATACATTGAGCAGATGTATTTGAGCACTGGAATAGCCCTGGAATACTGTGACCAGATTAAATGAAAAGCTAGAATTATGCTGAACCATGTACTTTTCCCTCGGTTCAACCAGTTTTACGCCGGGTCAAGCTGGAGAACAGTGGTTCACGTTATTCTGCGCAGTTCAACTACTTGTTCTATCGATTAAATCTGACCCTTGTAATCCATATTATAATATTACAGACAAG